TGAAGACAAGTAAGCGTCACCCCTCATGCCCAGACCCCCACACCCAATCCACCTCACTCACTCTCCTCCCTCCACCAAGACCCTGCACCTCCAGCTTGCTTCGACGCCGTGCCTTGTTCCTGCACCCTCCCTCCTGGCCAAACACTCCCTCCTGGCCAGACAACCTATCCCCATCCTGCTCCTCCATCCTCCCTCCTGGCCACACACTGCATACTCCCTCATGCCCAGACCCCCACACCCAATCCACCTCACTCACTCTCCTCCCTCCACCAAGACCCTGCACCTCCAGCTTGCTTCGACGCCGTGCCTTGTTCCTGCACCCTCCCTCCTGGCCAAACACTCCCTCCTGGCCAGACAACCTATCCCCATCCTGCTCCTCCATCCTCCCTCCTGGCCACACACTGCATACTCCATTGCTCCTGCTCCCTCCACCTGGCCAGGCACCCTACTCCCATTCTGCTTCTGCACCCTAATTCCCACACAGACCTCTCAACCTCTTCCCCTTCTGCATCCCACCTTCCTCCCAGATCCTGAAACCCATTCCTATTCCACTTGCTGGCATCCCACCTTCCTCTCAGATCCTGAAACCCATTCCTATCCTGTCTTGCACACTGAACCCCTCATTTTTGTCCCTACGCCAGAGCCTAAAGGGGTCCATAAAATCCACTAATTCTGGAACCCCAGACAAGTAAATCTGGCCTATGGGAAACTGTGAACCTCAGTCCTCCCTGTCCCTTCCCCTCATCCAATGAGTCTGGAGTGTCAGAGGAGTGAGGTGTCTGAGTTGGGGGCCACATCAATGAGGGTTGGGGGTTTGGAGGAGATTTTTTGCTTCTCACTTGTGTGGTTGCCAACTGATTTTTCCATGGATCAGTGGCCTCTGACACAAAAAAGGTTCACCACCCCTGCCATAAATAAAGAAAATATTTAAACCTTTTGTGTTGGACATAAATTCATATTTTACTTTATTTAAAATGAAGTTTGATAAACTAACATGGAAGAGTTAAAACACTTAATCTGTTTACTAATTTAAATTAAACCGTTCTCCCTAGTTGCAGCTGGTTCAGAAAATATGGTCACCAAACCCAGCCAGCCTTTGCCCTCTTCTCCTCCCCCTTCCCTCCCCTTGGCATGCAGATCCATAAATAAAAGTGAATAAGTTAAATCTTGGCACACCACTTCTGAAAGGCTGCCAATCCCTGGTATACATAAATCTGTATTACTGATAAGTAAGAATGATGGTTTGTGCCAGTGGTGTATTTTGATCAACTAAAACATTAAACGATTGCTAGCTGATGCATGTTTTTATATAAATCTCCTTTAAAGCTACTTTCAGTGTAAATGCATGCTAAATTTCATGTATTTTTATATTACTTGCTATGTTTTGGTTTTACCCTATTCAACAGAAGACATTTATACTCCCACATCAACTTTTTTATTTAAGATATACTATATGTTATTACTATTTACCTATGTTGGAGAGAATTTCATCTTTTATTTTTAAAATTCAGTTGCTGCTTTATTAGAAACTAGATTTACCTGGTGTTGCTCAGAATCAGGGCAGGGAATGGGGAGGTGTAGAGGTTTGTGGAAGAAGATTAGAAACGTGGGGGCATACGGCAGGAGGTTGGGGGGAGGATTCAGCCCAGGATAGGAGGTAGGAGTAGCTGGCGGCTGCTCCCAATGGCTGGCCCGGGGAGGGGGTGCCTGCCAGAGTCAGGCCATAGTGGTAGAGGCCACGCTGCCTGGACGGTGATTGCTTCCCAGGCTGGACCATTTGGTGCCCCTCTGTGGTCATTCTGGGGTATAAGTGTCCTTGCTATCACATCCCTCCCTTTCTGTTTGATGAGAAACAATCACATTTCCCGCACATCCTATTGTCCTGGCACAACCACATCCTTACATTGCTTTAAGTTATGACAAATTGCATACCAAATTTGGTGGTCCTCCCTCAAGGAGTTCTTGAACAAACATACTCACAGATGGACAGATGGACACACAGAGAGACAAACACACAAACTCTGTCAAATATACAGTAGATTATGGCAAAAACATACAGTGTGATAAGTGTAAAAAAAGCATACCATGAAAAGGTTTATTAGGGCTAATTTCTGTTATAGGTGCACAACTTCCAATTATATGTATGCATATATTAGAGGGTAGATTTTGGCTAAGCAAATCCATAAAGGAAATCAAGATACCTAACCAACATCAAAATATTGTACATATTTGAAATTAAACAAGCCTCAAGAAAACACACACTTTACCTGACAAGACAACCTCGATTAGGTCTCCTTCTTGGATATCTGTAGCTGACTTCACTAGCTGGAGAATGTTTTCAGAGGTAGTGTCATGACGAAAAAGTAGAATTTTATCATACATTCCATAGAAACCACATTCAGGAAACTGCAAATACACAACCATGAACATTTATCATAAGAGTATACAATACAGATGTGTAAAACATAATTAACACAACTAACATTTATTTATTATAATGAATCTATCCTCGGATTTACATATGACAAAGTTCACGAAGATTTTGTTTACCTGATGGGACATTTCTTATTCCACAGCTCCCCAAGTATGTATTATAAATACTTCAGTAGTTAGATAATCTTCAGGCTCTGGAGCTGCCTCTTTTCCCTTCCATATATGCCCTTTCATACTTCCTTCCCCTGCTGCAATTGCAACAGAACTTTCTTACAGACTTCTAGACTAACTTTCATTCTATTAGTAATACCACTATTTAGATCAATCAGAAAAAAATGCTTCTGGAGTTCAATTCAAGTCACCTGCATGATATTTCTTGCTGCATTGTAAATGGGAATCCTGAAATATTCTAAAACCAGAAAGCCCTTTGTATATTAGTGCCTTGAGTTGCGGCAGAGCCATACCTTTGTCATTTCATATATTATTTCTTTTAAAAACCTCAGATTAATATCATCCAATCCTGAGACCGTCCCACAGCAAAGCCATGGAGAGGAAGACAAATGGGGGAAACGCCATATGATTTGCCACGGAATTTTCTTGGAACCATCCCTTCTGATTGGACGGGTATGAGGGCTGCCCTTCCTTCTGTCCATCCCACTACGTCTATTCCATTCTAGGCATGAGAGTAAGTACATTGCCCTCCTTTCAATTCAGGATGGCTCTTCATTCAAATTCGGGGTGTTAGACATAGTTTATTTTAGTAATCATGTAGTCGCAACAATTTTTAGCAGTTATATGGTTACTAAAATACTCCTGGGAGGAGAGCCAGCAGCCCGTGGGGCAGCAGCATGGGGTGGCAGGTGGAGCCTCTCTGTGATGGTAGCTGGTTTAAAAAGCTCTTCATAATTTTACTGTCACTTTCAAACATTGTAACTTTTTAACACATTTCTTTTTTAAAAAAAACCAGCTTAAATCTTGTACCAACACAGTGTAAAAACCAAATAAACCCCAACAACTCTGCACAGTATTACTTCATTAGGCCAATGTTTCTGGGTTTTTTTTTTGTTCCTACTAGAGCATAATATATCTTGTCAAAAAACTACTGAACAGAATAAGATCGGTAACAATTTGGTTAATTAAAGTGAGAACTTCTAACAATTCAATTAATTTCATATTATTTTCCACAGATAATTCAAACTTGTTCAGAAAAACATTACAACGAGCAGACATAACAACATGCTCTTCAACACAGGACCATCTTTTTGTTCTATCTACAGCACCTAACACAGTAAGTTTCTTTTTCTCGACAAGACTCTTGGATGCTATAAATACTGCATTTACTACTACTAATGAAAGAATACAATTTTTTATACAATAAATTGAACAGCAGGGTTAATCATTCAACTTTTAAATATGGATGTGCATCTAATTTAAGAATACTCACTAGTCATTCAGACAACATGTAACTGCTTGTATCCTTAATATTCTGTCCAATTGTTTTTCAGACAATGCCCTTCTTGATTCACCAACAAAAATTCTTATTGCTTTTGTTGGCCCTTTAGAAAAGGCTTCAGTGTGATGCAGTACAGGGCATGGAGGTCACCATGACAGCAGAGTTTCAGGCTGTTTAGTTGTCATGGTAGCAGAACCCAAGGCTTTCTTTCCCCCCAGATTAAATACTTAGTTATGGGACAGTACATCAGCTTTTGATTGAATAGGAAAAACCAGGCTGATAATCTTTCAACTATCACACCTATAGAATAGAATAGAATAGAATAGAATAGAATAGAATAGAAAACCTTGAATATGAGACTTTCAAAAACTGTTTTAAATTATATTTTAAAGGCAAAATTATCTACTGCACAACAGCACATGTAATAACTGAAAGAACACACTGAAAAAATAAACATGGGAAAAACATTCCCTAATTTGGTAATAATTATCTGTTTTTATGTAAAGGTGTTTGAGTTTTGAAATCTGAAAACCCTCATTAAGCTAAATAGGCTTTCAGAAAACTCAAAGCTTGTAAACCCAGCTTGAGCTTATTACAAAATCAGTAATTTTTTTTCAGAGTCTTTGTTGTTGTCAGCACAAACAGCTCAGATAAGTGATTTCAAATTTCTCCCAGTTTTAAGGAGCTAAACTCCTAATTTTGGAAACATAGCCAAATTGTAACTGGCATAATGTATGACAATGGCATATGTGTGAACAGGTTTGTGCCTTTGCTCAGAAATAATTTATAAGTAGCGGGCAACTAGAGTGTGTGTATGTGGGGGTGGGGGAAGAGGGAGGGGAGAGATGTCAAATGCTCTGCCTGGAACCACTAAAAGCAACTCTCCCTGCTTCTAGAACTGATATCTTCTTCATGCACCCTTCCACCTTCACAGACCTTGTCAGCTTCTGTACTTGCTGCACTGAATGCCTCACTGGGAAAACAGCTAGACAGGAAAAGAGAAAGCCTAGCTTGCAGAAGATTGAGGGATGGGACAGCTGCAGGATTCTCAGGAACTACAGTTCCCAGTATATCCTCAAGGAGGGAGGCAGCTTGTGGGCCATGCAGATTGTGAGCAGAGCACCCAGCCATGCAGGGATGGAGGGCCTGAGCAGTCCTTTCTGCACAGGCCAAAATGAAATCACAATGGAAAACTCAAGCCTGGTCTGACCAGTATCAAGCTGCTTCTCCCTCTGGATACTTGGGCTCAGAGGGGTAGGATGGGGTTGGGTATCTGGGCGGGGGGGAACCCCAGGTGGGTTCTTGGGAGGCAGAGACAGGTGTCTGGCACCTGGCTGGGTTCTGGGATAGAGGCAGTGCATGTGTCAGAGCTGGGGAAAGCCCAGTGGCTAGGCTGGGATGGGAGGTTGCAAGTGTCTGAGTTGGGAGGCCCCTGCAGAGTCCCTTCCATCACCCTCCCCCCCATATTCCATCCCAGTACACATACTACAAACCCCTTCTGCACTCCTGAAAAAACCCCTACATGATTCACCACCTGTACTCCTCCTCCTGCTCCCTTCCTTCTCCCCGCAGCAATGTCTTCTATTTGGGACTCTCTATAGAATAACCCAATGGGGGCAAGATTAAAAAAAAAAGAATTGACTAGAAGACTGAAGTCCCCCCCACACACTCAGTGTATCAAGCTGCCATGTGTGATTCACCTAAACTGACGTGCCCAACAAAGGCAAAACAGAGAAAAAGGAACTGGGTTGGCAAAGTGGTTTCTTTAAAACTCTATTCCTGAAGGAATCTTTTGTTGTTGTTGTTACAGATATACTTGCTGATAGGTATTTTGAAATAAATTACCAAAATAATAGAAACCGGTATTTATATTATTCTAACAAAATATTCAGAATTGTAAACTACTGTGCACAAAACTTTAATTTTTGTATTCAGAATTTATATTTTTGGCACCAAATTCCCCCAACAGAATGGTCTATCTCCATCAAATTGGGCCTAAGCAATGGGAACATGATCATCCTGGGTCCAAGGAGCACAAGCTAAGCAAGCTAGATGAATGAGCAACAGGATAGACAATAAAACTCAGTTTCGACAAGTGTAAGGTAATGCACACACGGGGTGGGGGGAATAGTTTTAAATACGCTTAGCTGGGTTCTAAATTAAATGTAAACACTCAAGAAAAAGTCTTGGACATCAACAGGAACAACTTAAGGCAGCTGCAAAAAAAGTAAACCAAATGTAAAGTTACATAGGGAATGGGATGGAAAATAATACAGTACCAAGCTTATTACAAATGCCATTATATAAATCAAAGTTATGCAATTACCTGGAACATTGTATTCTACACTGATTACCCTCTCTAAATCATGAAACAAGAGAAATAGTGTGAATAAAAGTGCATCAGAAAAAGATCACAAGCACAAAAAATACTGTCATTTGAAGAGATTAATTAGATTAGGATTATTGCATTTAGCGAAATAGATGAAAGGGGACATGATTCTAGTCTAAAAACAGAGAAAAGAAGTCACATATTCTTTTTGACCCTTTCTCATACTAGAAAAAAGAGAATGTCAATTAAATAGAAAGGCAGCAACTGAAAACTGGTAAAAATAAATACTTTTTATCAGAAAACACTAAGTGCCATTTTAAATTATGGAATTCACTGCCACAAGATACTTTTGAGGACAAAACATTAGTGGGAATCAAAAAAATGCTAGATGTTAACATGCAAAAAAGAACATCCATTATAAAGGATGTTAGTATGTAGGTTGGCAAGATAAATTGATAAAGTGACACAATCATAAGAACATAAGAATGGCCATACTGGGTCAGACCAAAGGTCCATCTAGCCCAGTATCCTGTCTGCTGACAGTGGCCAATGCCAGGTGCCCCAGAGGGAGTGCACCAAAGACAATGATCAAGGAATTTGTCTCCTGCCATCCTTCTCCAGCCTTTGACAAAAACTTAATTCGAACTAGCGGAGCACTTAATTCGAACTAGGTAAACCTCATTCTACGAGGACTAATGCCTAGTTCGAATTAAGTAGTTTGAATTAAGGGCTGTGTAGTCACTTAATTCGAACTAGTTGGAGGCTAGCCCTTCCCAGGTTGCCCTGGTGGCCACTCTGGGCCAAACCAGGGAAACTCTTCTGCCCCCCTCCCAGCCCCAGAGCCCTTAAAGGGCCACGGTCTGGCTACAGTGCTTGTGCCAGTTGCAAGCCTGCCAGCACCCAGCCAGCAGACCCTGCACCTGGCACGGCATGAACCAGCCATCCGCTGCTACCCAGCCCTCCACCTCTTCCCAGGACCAGGTTGGCAGCTCACAGGAGCCTGCCCAGAGCCGCAAGAGGTGGGCTCCCGCCTGGTCTAGTGCGGTGATCATGGACCTCATCAAGGTTTGGGTGGAGGCCTCCAACGTCCATGACCTCCGCACTAGGCACAGGAATGTGGCCTGTCTATGGCAGGATAGCTGCAAGCCTGGCCACCAGAGGCCACATGCAAACCCAGGAGCAGGTTTGCAT